ATATTTCGAGGGACATTTCAGTTAATGTACAATTTAATTAGACTCCATGAACTGATTATTCACGTTTCTAAAAAAAAAAATATTTGTCAATGTATGCAAATACTTCCACAGACTCTAAATAAGTGAATACAAACTTCAAAACTTGACGTCTCGCTCTATATATATATATTTTCTAACAAACAACGTTTATCGAGCTGGTCAGTAGTCTTGAATATTGAGTTATTGACTTATTTCAGAAATAGGCTGAAAGAGACCTGAATATTCGTGTGTCTATGTAACCTGCTTGTACCCGATGATGACATAATCTTGCCGAAACGTTGTAAATTTGTAATAAAGTTTTCTTCATTGCCCATTCAAGTCGTTTCCAAACTTTTAAGACCTTTTTTATGTGGCCAGTAAAACTTTTTGGTTAGTAAACGTCAGCAAGAAAGGTAAGAATATAATTTTACATAGAATTTTTAAGCTCTAGTAACTTATAAAGCTAAACATGAAAATAAGCGCCCTTTTCAAGAGAGTAATTATAAGAATGAAATTCAAAAAAAGACGATTAGATATAGAAGCGAAGACTCAATTAGTGAAGTGTTTTATAGATGGGTGATAATGAATAGTATGTATGTACCTTATATTAGTTGATCATTAAAATACTGGTTTTACTTAGGACTTATATATATACATTGATGACATGTTTAAAAATTATTAGGTTCTAATGAAAAACAAAAAACGTGTATTGAACCTTAATAAGACCATCCGACCTTAGTAACACCTACCAACCTTGTAAAACGATACAATTAAATGTTGAAATCTGTATACAATCCTGTTGAACACCAACCTCAATACAAGAAAATTCATCAAGAAGAACTGTGGAACGTGGAATAACAATGAAAGTACTGCAAGGATAATATTTGTCTGTGTTTGGACACTATTGAAAGTACTGCAAGGATAATATTTGTCTGTGTTTGGACACTATTGAAAGTACTGCAAGGATAATATTTGTCTGTGTTTGGACACTATTGAAAGTACTGCAAGGATAATATTTGTCTGTGTTTGGACACTATTGAAAGTACTGCAAGGATAATATTTGTCTGTGTTTGGACACTATT